CAAGTTTGCAGCCCTTCTGCCTTCTAGCCCTTTAGCCAATCAGCATTTGAGTCCTGAGGCACTCACATTGTGAGCAGAGGTTTTTGAAAGTTTTAATCTCTCACAGTGATACGCTGGTGGATGGATGGGGACACTCATCAGTTCCCTGGTATCATGCCCGAGTAAAGCCTGCCTTAGATGCTTAAGGTCAAATTCACCTGGAAAGCTACATACTTCTCCAAAAGCCTGTTTTGGAATTCAGCTCCTTCACCAGCATGACCTGCAGTGTGGGTTTTCTTAAACAGAGGATGGACAGTAGTCACTGATGTGAAATTTTTCCATCTTTATTTGCTTTCTGATTGCTTTAAATAAGCATCTGTTGTTTTCATGAAGTACTACAGATATATTACAATTTCAGATAGAATAATTTGTTCAGTTTGGTTTAAGAAAAGAAATAAGTCCGGGGATTCAAAGGTCTGAGTTCTCATTCCTTATCTGACCCTTGGTAGCTGTGTGACCTTTAGCAACTCATCTCCATTCATTCTGTAAACATGAGCATCCCTGTTAAATGCCAGGTACCAGGACACAAGGTGAGGAAAATCACAGGAACCCAACCCAAGAAATGGGCCATTACAGTTTGCCTTACTGGAGGTTTGTCCTGGACACCCAATAGCAGGAAAGAAAAAACTTCTAAGGAGGCTAGGAAGGTGGGTGCACATTTCACCAAGCTGATAGAATTTCAGCTCCAGTGCTGTGAAATATTTTGCCAACTGCATCAGACCACTGCTTTTTAAGAATATCTTATGGGTTTGAACAATATACCTTTCATTTCTATTAATGGTGATGTCAACAATATGATCGTGCACATGTGACTTTCAAAGCCTACAGTTAACAAATATCTCTATTTACCTCCAGAATAACAGAAAGCCTTTAAATGTGCTAGGCCAGTGATGGCGAGCCTTTTAGAGAAGAGGGCTCAAATTGCAACCCAAAACCCACTTATTTATTGCAAAGTGCCAACATAGCAATTAAACCTGAATAGTGAGGTTTTAGTTTATAAAAAACAACTCATATGTTAACATCTTTTGTCACAAGAGAAAAACAACACTTGTGACATAGGTTCACTACCTATTAATTCTTATCATTATATTTTTCTTATATTGTAATCAAGGCCCTTTTAGAATAATCTACATTTTAATAATTTCTTTGCTTACTATTAATTTTTCTATCTCACTCCTTTCTTCTGAGTTCAATTTTATTCTTTCTGAATTGTATCCTTTAGCAGAGTCTGTTAAGTGTGCACAATCAATTACTGTTATTGTTAATTTAATGAGAATTTAGTTGTGCATAGAATTGAGGCCAACTCTCTTCTCTCAGCCCCTTGAAAATTCTAGTGCACTTTCCTCTAACTTACATTACTGCTCACAGCAATGTCATTATTGTTCATTTAGGTAATCTGACTTTTACTTGTTAAGATCTTTGTCTTTGGTACTTCTGGGAAGATGGCAGAGTGGTGAGCAGCAGCAAAACAGCCTCTCTGAGGTTTGCCATCCAGACACTGGAATGTAGCAGTATGTGGAAGAGAAGAGAGAGGGAAGTGGGTTTCTGGGACCCAGCCGAAATCTAAAGTGAGAATTAGAGCCCACAGGGAGAGCGAAGAGAGGGACCTCAATGAAGAAGCAGGAGGTAGCAAGGGGCACTTTCTCCGGAGCCCTGGATCTCAGCATGGGAGGAGCAGATTATACCTGCAGAGACACAGTAACTACTGGTAATTCCAAAGGCCTCCATGGAGAAACTCACTAGTGGAGGGGAGCAGTGGATGCTGCAGACTACAGTGGCTGGTGAGTGATTCCAGTCCAGTTTGGGTGTCTCCAGAGAAGGGTGATTGGCTGGTCGCCATTTTGGAAAGGGGCCAACTGAATTCAGGACTCTGAGCAGCAGTGGGTTGGCTCCATCTCAGGCCTCCTGATGTCAGAGTGACATGCAACCATGGGAGACACCCAGGGTAGGGGGCTGATTTCAAGCCTGCAGGAGGCACCTAGAGTGTTGTGGGCTGAACAACTCAAATCCCAGCCTCACAGCCAGAAACCAGAAAGAGCCTAAATTTCAGTGGAGCTGAAAATGCAGGGTTCCTAGGAGCATCCACCACCAGGCCATAATTCTATTGCAGGCTTTCTGGGATCAACCTACATAGATCTGAGCTCTGTTTGCCCCATTTGTCTACCAGTGACAGCGGAGACACACCCTGAAGTGGTAATTTTTTTTTTGAAATCTTCCTTTCTTTGCTTTTTTCTCTTCCTTTCCTTGATTGTTTGTTCTTTTTATATGAGTGTGAACAGTGTTTATACTTTTTTGTTGTTATTGTTTTGTTCTGTTCTTGTTTCTGTTTTTTCCTTCTTTCTTTCCTTTTTGTCTTATTTACTAGTTTTCCAAAACTTGTGTAATCTTCCTTTGTCCTTTAAGCCTTTCTTCTAATTTCTTTCTCTTTTTCTATTTCTATATTTTTTCCTCTAACCCTTTTTAAATTTTCTGCCCTGAGGGTAAAATCATTATATTGAGGAGATATTTACTGTATACAATTTTCTGCTTTGTGTTAGATTTTGTTTTATAACTACAAGTCTTGTTCATATGGTTAAAGGTGGCAAATAATAGTTACCACAGTTTGTCATTTTCTAGGCTGTGTTTGATGCTATTGTTATTACTGAGTGTATTACTTTAGTGAAGGTGACATAGTTGCTTTAATCAGTTGTTCTTTCATGTGTGCTAGGACTGAGATTGTTTGAGGGTCATAAACGATACTATAGGCCAGACCCAAAGAACCAGGGGGCTAGGCCAAATGGGCAGCAACTTCTCACCCCCAATAAACTGAGGTAGGACCTTACAAGAGACTCAAAAGCCAAAAGCCAGCTATATCTAGAAGATATCTCTGATAAGTAGTCATTTCCTAAGGGCTCTTGATACTAACAATAACTCTACCTACTATAAGCAATTTATAATTATCAATGCAGAAATTAAATTTAAACAATAGAAAATGAGAAGACACAGAAGCACCATGTGACCCCAGACTTTTTGCTCACCAAAGGCAAATCCAGGGGTCAATGAGGTAGAATAATTTGAAACCCACCCACCTGAACTCTCTGAAATGGTAACAGTGAAAGTAACAAGGCAAATGAATGAGACACTTGAAAACAATCAAATTAGAAATAATTTCTCAGGCACCTAAAGAGATGATGACCATAATGAAGGGCATGATTAGTGAATCTAGGTTAGATACAAATAAAAAATAGAGGAGCTTAGGAAAATGATAAAAACCATGAATACCCAACATAGGAAAGAAAAGGAATCCATGAAACAGATTCACACAGATACCCAGGAGATTAAAAGTATATGCAACAGATTCAACCAATGTGAGGACAGAATATCAGATCTAGAAGACAAGTTTGTGGTTAGCAGTCATGAAAAGAAAGGTTTCTTAAAAATAGCAAAGGGCCACAAAAAAATCAATCCAACAGCTGCTTGATGATGCAAAGAATAACATAAGATTGATTGAAGTCAATGAAAAAGCAGGAGATAGCCCAAACAACATAAAGAATCTGTTCACAAAAGTAATGGCAGAAAATTTTCCAAGTGTGGAAAAAGAATTTGATACATGTAGAACTTCAATTTAGCATAATAAAAAAATCTACCCAAGGTATATAATAATCAAGATTCCAGAAATTCAACATAAGAACAGGATATTAAAAGCTGGTAGAGAAAAGAAACAAATCATCTATAAAGGAAAACACATCAGGTTCATAGAAAACTTCTCAACACAAATGCTTAAATCAAAGAGAACTTGGAGTGAAGTATTTTAATCCACAAAAGAAAACAACCTCCAGCCCAGATTGATGTAACCCACAAAATAATCTTTCAAAACTGATGGAGAAGTAAGATACTTCCATGACAAAGAATGCCTGAAGAAATTCATGACCACCAAACCAGCACACCAAAATATTCTGAAGGATATCCTAGAAAGAGATAACAAAGATTACAACTCTGTGAACCTCAACAGAATGAATCCACCAAGTAAGGCAAGCAGTTAAACAGAGAGGAAAGGAAAGGAACCAACAACAGGAAAATAACATGATAAGGATAAGGTAATATATATCAGTTATAACCATCAATGTAAATAATTTCAATTCACCAAACAAAAGAAAGAGACTAGCAGAATGGATCAAGAAACAAGACCAACAACATGCTGTGTACAAGAAACACATTTAAATGAAAAAGAGAGTCATAGACTTAAAGAGTCAAAAAAATGAAAACCAATACTCCATGTGATAGGAACTCAAAAAAGTAGGCATAGCTATTCTATGTGGAGGCAAAGTGGATTTCAAGCCAAGACTGATCAAGAGAGACAAAGAAGGTCACTACATACTTGTTAAGGGAACAATCCAAGAGGAAGAGAAAACAATCATAAATATATATGGACCAAATACCAGCTCACCCAACTATATAAAACAAATATTAACAGACATAAAAAGTCAAATAAGCACTAATACTGTTGTAATGAGGTACCTTAATACCCCACTGTCACAAATAGACAGATCAACTAGACAAAAAATCAACAAAGAAATATCAGAACTGAGCCAAACTTTTGAACAAACGTACTTAACAAATGCCTACAGAGTGTTCCAGCACACAACATCAGAATACACATTCTTCTCAGCTGCACACAGGATGTTCTCCAAAATGTGGGGAGCGGTGTCAGCCAAAAAGCTTCATTTTAATTTTACCCTTTGTTATAAATGGCCAGGAGACTATGTAATGGGGAACCGTGTCTCTCCACTAACTCCAATGTTTCCCTTTAGAGTTTGCCCTAGCAACAAGGTGAACCTTCTGTAACCCCAGGAAACAAAGTAGCACATGAGGGCGAGGAGTGTCTAGAAAACTAGCAACAAATGAAGCAGGTGTTTTGGATAAAGGTCATGGTTAATGACCTAACTCACTGAGTATATAAAAGAGAGGTGAAAATAAACTTGCTTGCTCGGTCTTGGGAGCCCTCCCGACTCTGTCTCTTTGTCTTATTTTCTCAGTCCTCCTTTCCCCCATTCAGGAACCTTTCGACTGGTGACAGCTGGTCCTTCACAGGTGGCGCCCAAACAGGGACCTGAATACGGGGGATACCAGAGTGAAGGACACCGCGGGTATACGAGGGCGCTCGGTAAGTGACGGGCGGCGATAATATTCAGGAGAGTATGGGGCACGGCAGTAGCAGGGCGCTGTTCGCTCAAACGCTTAAAAATATGTTACAGGCCCAGCCCGAGGTGCGCGCATCAGGCATCAACAGCTCTGTGCTTTTTTAGAGTTTGTTGAAAAGGTCTGCCCCTGGTTCCCCACGGAGGGAACTGTTAGTTTGGAATTATGGAATAAGGTAGGAAAGAAATTGCAGGATTATTATGCCGGCCACGGGCCATCCAAGGTGCCTGTGGATGCCTTTAGTCTATGGACTCTCATAAGCGATAGTTTAGATCCACGGCACGAAAGCTTTAAGATGCCAGAATATGCAGAACAAAAGAAGGAGGAAGATTGCCGTCCCCTGTCCACTAATCCCTTTTTGAATGAGGGCCCTTCTGCCCCTCCAAATGTTGATCCTTCAGATGAGGAAGTTTTAGATGATCGTTGGCCTCTTCCCCCTGTGGTTGCTTTGGCAGCACAGGAGGAAGATGACAAATCTTTACCTATGGAAGGAAATGATAAAGATAAAAGATGGGATATGGAACTAGAAAATCTTAAAAAGGAAATAGAACAAATGAGACAGAAGTTTGAGGGGATGCTATCAGGAGGACTGCCTCCCGGTGTCGTTCGTTGCCTGCTGGAGGCGTTTTTGTCCCAGGAAAATAGGGAACCTGAAACTTTTCAAGGGAATAAAGAGCTTTCCCCCCTGCAGCAAATTTTGGCTGAAGGAGGTGATCTCGGGGAAATAATCCCAGGCTTTCCACATATCGTCACCCGTAGGGCCTTTCCTGTGATACAATGATATGATAATCAGGATAATTTAATGGAGGCTGATTATCGCCCCCTTGCTTTTAAACAATTAAAGGAACTAAAAGGGGCCTGCTCTCAGTATGGCCC